TCCAGGTAGGGTTTCTATAGTCCAGGTGGAGTTTCTATGGTCCAGGTGGAGTTTCTATAGTCCAAGTAGTGTTTCTGTGGTCCAGGTGGAGTTTCTGTGGTCCAGGTGGAGTTCACGTGGGCCAGGTGGAGTTCACGTGGTCCAGGTGGAGTTCACGTGGGCCAGGTGGCGTCTGTGTGGGCCAGGTGGAGTTCAGCTGGAGTTTCTATGTTCCATTTGGAGTTTCTGTAGTCTAGTTGGAGTTTCTGTGGTCCAGCTGGAGTTTCCATGGGCCAGGTGGAGTTTCTGTAGTCTAGTTGGAGTTTCCATGGGCCAGGTGGAGTTTCCATGGGCCAGGTGGTTTCTATGGTTCCACTGGCGTTTTTATGAGAATGATGAAGAACATGTTCATGTTTGTATTTGTAATTTTTTCCATCATTAACAATAGAGCAACTTTAGACGGCAGCAGGGAGAGATGTGGTCAGTTCATCCCCCAGCAGTGTAAGCCTACAGCAGCGGAATTAAGGTATAGCTCAAGAATCCCAAGCCAACCATATCTCTAGGATTTATGAAAAAAGAAAGTCTTAATCCCAGTCTTAAAACTGGACAATGTGTCCGCCTCACAGACAGAAACTGGAAGTTGGTTCCACACGAGAAGAGCCTGATAACTGAAAGATCTGCCTCCCATTTTACTTTTAGAAACTCTAGGAACTCCAAGGAAACCTGCAGTCTGGGAGTGAAGTGCTCAGTTTGGAAAATGTGGAACAATCTTTAATGTAAGATGGAGCTAGGTTGTTGAGAGCTTTGTAGGTTAGAAGTAAAATGTTGAATTCTATTCTTTGTTTGACTTGAAGCTAAAACTGGAGAGAGGTGAACTCTAGCTCTCATCAGAACTCCAGCTGCAGCATTTTGGATCAACTGAAGACTTTTTAAAGAGATTTTATGACCCCCAGGATTATAAAGGATTACAATAGTCCAGCCTAGAAGTGATAAATGCATGAATCAACTTTTCTGCATCATTTTGGGACAAGATGTTTCTAACTCAATTAAATTGGAATAAATGAAGTAACCCATAATGGATAAGAGCGTAAAGAGCTATAAAGTTAATTTCTATATTCTACTACTCTGAATCAACAATATTTTTTAATCATCCAAATGATTGATCAATGGTTCCATCCATTTACTCAGAGCGCACGTCTTTATCCGAAGCGCCTCATGTTCAGCCTGTTTGTTGAATTTTATTTTTATTTTCCAAATGACGCGACGGGAACATGAAAGCTTCACGCCCTCTTTGAAACCCTTTTTGAACTCGAACTCAAAGTATCTACAAAATGATCAAACAGACTTGCTGCAAAGCATGATGGGAATAATAAAATCTGAACAACCGCTAGGACTCAATCGGGGAGAAATCACACCGTGAAGGATATTAAGTGACGGTGCATCAAACTGGAAGGAAACGATTATGATTTAAAGTGATAGTTCACATCTTTGGAACTGAGGTTCTATGGAAAGGTTATGAACAGTTAATATCTTACCTGCTGGCGATAGTGTGGTGTATTTCTAGGATAAAGACTTGTCTGGTTGGCGTGGGTTTCCTGAGCTCTCCTTTAGTTCCATTGCTATAGGCTTGGATTGCTGGGGGACAAGCTGACCACAGCTCTTCTCTCTGCTGCTCTCACCCCCTCTACTGTTCAATAAATGTTTAATAATTTACTAATTGGCATTTTCTAACGTTTGTGAATGTTTTTGTTCCGTGCTCTGAGATGTTTATCTCTGTGCACGTAAAACGAACTGTTCCTGCACAAATACATTGATATTCCTGCCAAAATTGCTCTAGGCTGCACTAAAAGTGCTACAGCTACTTGTACTACTGTAGTACTTTTTGCAAATAACAAGCCCAAACTGATATTTAAATTGTCGTGCAGAACGACTTTGAAGATTTGAATATTTGTCCTTTGAAACCCTCTCGGTGTTAAAAATACAAATAACATTAAGGTAAAAAGTGAAACTTTTAATGTTAGTCAATTTTGTATCATGTGAATTATCAGTCTACTTTTATCTGCACAATAAAAGCTCCAACAAATGTCGCAAGTGATAAAACAAAGTTATAGCTTCATTGTCAACATTTGATTAACATTCAAAAGTCTCCAACGTGATAAAAGATGGCCTCTCCACTATCTTCTGATAGTCACATCAAGAATGATTATAAGAAGAAGGTTCATGGACACTTAATATTCACAATAACTGTAAAGCAGCAGAAAAGATTATAAAGTCTATATTAATATAAGATATAGAACTTGCGTATATACACGCATTCCCTCGACAGAAGAAATCCCTCCCTTCAGTCAGAAGGAAGGAAGATGGGAAACAAATAAAACTTTTATTTGCTGAACAAAAACTGCAAGTCCAGATGTCCAAAAGCAATGGTGACAAAAAAATTAAAAAATCTTGTCACAGAAAGGAGCAAAATGCAAAGAAACAAACACGCCGCACTGGCAAAGAAAAGTTAAATATACTGAAGGATACAAGGACAAACACGACCCAGGTGTGCCGAACAGCAGCCGAAAACAAGCTAACGAACACACAGAACAGGAAGTGACGCTAACGCGTATAAAAAGAAAGCTGCTTTAAAACTAAAACTAAAAGAACGCAGCCGTGCGGGGCGGAGCAGTCACTTCAGGACTGTTGTGACTTTTGGTGTTTGTGCAATTTTTACTTTTCAAATATTTAACTTTATTTACAATTTTCCCCACAGAAATTTTTAGAGATCCCTTCAACCCCTTGGGGTCCCTTCAGCTACTGCCTCTATTTTTATTTACTTGAGCTACTTTAAGCTTTTATGCACCATTTTATTTTTAGCCTTTAGTTAGCGTTTTGCAACTTTTCGCGTTTATCTATTATTTAGCTTCTTTTAACTTTGTGCTATCATTTTGCTATTCTTAGCTTTTAGCTAGCATTTTGATACTTTAGAATTTTAGCTAGCATTTATATCCCTTTAGCTAGGTTTTTCTACTTTTAGCTAGCATTTTGCTACTTTTAGCTGAGCTTCTTTTAACTAACATTTGTTTTTTGCTTCTAGCTAGCTTTTTGACACGTTTAGCTTGCCTTTTGCTACTTTTGAGATTTTAACTAACATTTTGCTATTTTTAGCTAGTATTTTGATACTTTTGGATTTTAGTTAGCAATTTGCACTTAAAGCTAAGTTGTTTACTTCTTTTAACCTTAAGCCACATTTTTGCTACTACTTTAAACTTTTTAGCCTTTGATGCTTTTACCATTTAGTTACTTTGAGCTTTTATTTATTATAGAGCTTCTTTTAACTTTGTGCTATCATTTTGCTATTCTTAGCTTTTAGCTAGTTTTTGATACTTTGTGAATTTTAGCTGTCATTCTGCTTTTCTTAGTTTTAAGCTAGCCATTTGATACTTAACTTTTAGCTAATATTTAGCTACTTTTAACTAGGTTATTTCTTCTTTTAGCTATCCTTTTATATTTTTGCTTCTAGTTAGCTTTTTAACTTGACTTTTGCTACTTTTCGATATTCACTAACATTTTGCTACTTTTAGCTAGTATTTTTTATACTTGGGTTTTGGTAAGCATTTTGCATTTTAAGCTAGGTATTTGCTTCTTTTAGCCTTAAGCCACATTTGTTCTGCTTTTAGCTACTTTAAAAATTTTATCCTTTGATGCTTTTTGCTTCTTTCATTTTCTAGCTAGCTATTTTCTACATTTAGTCTTTAGCTTGTTTTTTACATTTAGCATCATGTTAGCATTTTGCTACTTTTTGCTTCTGTTCTGCTTCTTTTGGCTTTAAAAACTCAGGTTTAGCTTATTTAACTAATTTGAGCAATTATTCAGTGCTTAGTGTTAACAATTTCACATGAAATAAAAATAATTTAAATCAATTTTATGGAAATCTTTTTCTTGTGTGATAAACATGCAGTGAAGAATAAACTCTTTATTACAGTTTTTGAGTTATTAAAAAAAATCTACATTAAAAAAAAAAATCTTCATGCTGTTTTAAAACCAATAAAAATCTCACTAGTTTATAATCCGTCCTGTTAACAGCCTCAGTATTTTTTATAAACTGATTTATGTGTGATTTAAAGGCCTTTTCTCTCATGGGGTTTATCAGGTGACCAGCTGGCGGTGTTTCGGGGTCAGGACGGGACGGCCTACGTCCTGGACGCCTACTGTCCCCACCTGGGGTCCAACCTGGCTGTTGGAGGACGGGTGATGGGGAACTGTATCGAATGTCCGTTTCATGGATGGCAGTTTCGAGGGAGCGATGGCAAATGTGAGAAGATCCCTTATACAGAAAAAGGTAACAGTGATACGAAGCCAAGGGTACGGCAAATGTTTTGCACATAATTAACAATTCTAATGATCATATTTATGTTTGGGATTCCTCTGAGCTAAAACTGGGACTTGATTTATTTTCAGTGCCAGAGTTAGCCAAGGTGCGCAGCTGGCCCAGCTGTGAGGTGAACCAGCAGATCCTGGTCTGGTTTCACTGTGACGAAGCAGAACCGCAGTGGACCGTCCCCGAACAGGAGGAGATCACAAAAGGCCAGTGGATCTATCGGGGCAAAACCGAGCATTTCATCAACGCTCACATAGAGGTGGGGCATTTCTCTCTCGGCCGACACATGTGCAGCTAATGAGGGTTACGCTTAAAGGGATTATCCGAAGTCAGTATCTTACCTGCAGTAGATGGCAGTCAAAGTGAGAATCGAAGGTAAAATCTCATTTAAATCCAAACTAACAGACTGGAAATGGTTTCAGGTTGGATTTATGTTGTCCTAAATTGACTTCAATGTTGAATTTTAAATAACTTTTGATGCAAATTCTGTTTTGTGCAACTTTGCACCAATATCACATTTGCAAAATTAATTTTCTTCCATAAGTCTTCAGTTTTTTGGGGGGTTATTTTACACTGAAGACCCAGATAGCCTACAATTCACAAAGTTCGTAACACCAGCGTTGTCCAGTTATACATAAAACATGAAGTTAACCTGGACCATTATTGATAACTCTGTATTCAGTGACTGTAAACATTATTGTAAGTATCTAAACTTAAAGTTAAGTGGATGTAGAAATAAAAATCATTTGGATAAAATATTACGAAATGTTTGAGGTTTAGTTTCATTAGGACGGCAGAAATCTGTTTGGACGTGGCCTCGGCCTGATTAGCTGTTAGCTTGACTCCAGTAAGACTTTGTCCCTGATTCTCCAAGCAGATGGACGTTGTTCTGACCGCGGTCCGCTTCTCGTATACAGACCGCTGATCATCGCAGCATACAGGTTTAATGTCTGCTTCACAAAGACGGAGGTCACGGTTCAAACCAAACCTGTCCACATGCGTCCAGGCCAGGTCATTACGGTTGTTTCCGTCAGAAAACAGTGACCATTATCAACAAAGCAGCTCTGAGGGACAAATCTGAACATAAAGACAACCGTGCACAGCCCTGAGGGACGCATCTCGATATAAAGACACGACTGCTCCGCTCCAACACTTCCTTAGGGAGAAAAAGTTGGACATTATACACGTAAAACAACCGGACCCATCCCTTTGTACGATCTGTGGCACCTTCAGGTTGGACGCTGCAGGCTGATCGCATGGAAGCCCACCTCAAATCCCAAAGACTCTGTTCTATGGAGGCCAACAAAAGGCTACCGACAAGGTGGACAGTACAAAAGATACAAAAATGTTCTAAAATTTCATCTCGGGAACTGCACTCAGACTGTCAACCGCCTTCAGTTGCACTCTGTGCGCCGACATTTTGAAGGCCAATGTCTAGACCTTTTTCGGGAGACCCTGGAATCAGAACTTTGTCTGTTCAGAATGTCAGAAACCTCCACCTCCATCTTCTACCTCTGATTTTTTTGTCCGGTTGCAAAGGCATCAGGCCCTGGAGAGAAATCCAGACATCCTGTCCAGCTCCACGTGGGGGACCCGGAGGCACTCTCAGACCAGAGAAGATAATAATTCGGTGCTTTTTGTAATTCAGCGAGAACCGGGATCTCGACAGCATCGGTTCAGTCTATCATCATTACTGATCGCTGACAATGCACAGAACCACACTTTAAGAAATTCTAACTGTCCTTTTAATCTCAGTTGATCTTGTATCTCATGTGGTGCATGAGACCCGTATGACACGATCTGTATCAACTGGCACAGGTCCATTGGGTTTATCTCCTACGTCTGGCCATCCACTTCAGTTACAGCCGCAGATCAAGCTTTATTAAGTTATCTATGACCCATTAGTGATCAGAAAATCAATGAAAGTGATCAGGAAAATGTGGACAAACCAGAACAGCAGCGGTTCTGAGGAGAGAAAGTCGCTGCAGACGCAAACTTCCATCCAGATCGACTTTTTCCGAGTTCTCTTCAGGTGCTTCGGTAAATGCAACGATAAAACGAAGCGTTTTGTTTCCCTTTCAGGAGATTCCTGAAAACGCAGCCGACGTGGCTCACCTGGGTCACCTGCACATCCCGGGCATCGTCAGCGGCGCCGACCTGCGCTACCACTACAGCAAACTCTGGGACTTTGTGCGACACGGATGGAAGGTAGAGTCTTTGTTTGTCGTGGGATCAAGGCTTCAGTGCTGCTGTTGTGTTTTCGTGTATTTTGATCGAAGCTTCTTGCTTTTTCTCGGGACTTCTTTAAGGTTGAGTGGGCACCAGAGTCGGCGCCCAACAGTCATTGCTCTACGATGCAGGTGAACCACTCACTGACCGTGTTTGGGTTCCACTGGAGCCTGCTGGATCTTCACGTCCGGGCCCGACAGGTACAGGAACCCGTCATGGAGGCGTTTGGACTTTATGCAGTAATTAATTGGAAATGCACCGATCCTGGTTCTCTGGACCAGTTTAGATTTCTGGCTTTGTAAATCTCACACAAAGTATCTGTTGCGGTTCTGGTTTTGATCACTTACTTCCTGGTTAAGTTTAAAACTTGGGCGTTTCTTCTCACGACTGGCGTAGTTTATGCCAGTTATGAATCTTAGTGCACCATGATAGACAACATCCAACATCTGCAGGGTTCTTGTAGGAGCGTTCATGTAAATAATGTCACCGTAATCAATGGAGGGAAGGAAGGTCACAGATACAAGGCGTTTCCTAGCATTCAGGGTTAAACAGGATCTGTTTCTGAAAAAGAAACCCAGTTTAACTTTCAGTTTCTTTACCAAGTTTTCCACATGGAGCTTAAAAGAGAGATGCGAGTCGACCAAGATACCCAAATATTTATAGGAATCAACAAACTCAATGGGGACACCATTTGAGGATAAAATCGGAGGAAGAATTGCTGGGACTGACTTCCTATTTGAAAAAAGCATCCCTTTGGTTTTGTTGGCATTTAGGACAAGTTTGAGGCGGAATAAATCAGTCTGGATGATGTTGAATGCAGATTTCAAAAGCTGGAAAGCCTTTTCAACAGTTTTAGCTCGACAATAAACAACTGTGTCATCAGCATAGAAATGTATGGATGCATTAGGGATGTTTTTACCTAGATTATGTATGTAGATTGTAAAGAGTGTGGGTCCTAAGACTGAGCCTTGTGGTACACCATTGTTGACTGTTAAATAACTGGAGGAAGTACCATTATGTTGAACACATTGCCTCCGGTCTGAAAGATAGTTAGAGAACCAACCAATGGTGTGTTCTGAGAAACCAATTTCTGAGAGTTTATGACACGAGATGTTCTGATCCACAGTGTCAAAAGCTTTAGACAGGTCTAAGAAAAGTGCAGCACAATAATCCTTAGCATCCAGTGCTTCAACAGCGTCATTAAGAACCTTCAGTGAAGCAGTGGTTGTGCTGTGTTGTTTCCTGAAACCAGATTGATGTGGAGGTAAGATGTTAAATGAGTCCAGGTAAGTTTTGATTTGAGAGTTTATCAGTTTTTCTAGAACCTTGGCTAAAATGCAGAGTTTAGAGATTGGTTGATAGTTGTTCAGTGAGGTGGGGGTCACCTCCCTTCAGCAAAGGAAGAACAAAGGCTGTTCTCCAAACATCTGGAATGGAGTTTTGTCTTATGGAGAGATTGAAGATGTGGGTCACAGGGACTGTGATGATATGAGCAGCCAGCCTTAAGAAATAAGGTGGAAGTTCATCTGGTCCTGCAGATTTTTTAGGATCAAGATGTTTTAACAGTTTATTAACCTCACTGACTGAGAACAGCCATACAAGCCGACATTGGACATATTTGGACTGATGAGACTTATACGGCGGTGCGACGTGTACGACGGAAAGTACGGTAGTTCTCCTGTTAAGGATGTTCTATAATACTCCCAGCTCAGTGGGTAAGATAAGCCTCTCCTAAAGGCCACTACTGGCCTGAGAGCCATCAGTTGATCATCAAACACTATGTATAATAACACATGTTCTTGCATAAATACTGCACCGTGAAGCGTCCGTCTCCTGCAGAGGGAGCTGCGTCCTTTAAAATCAAACCGTTCAGGATGCGAGTTTTTCTGCTGCAGGCGAGGAGAAACGAGACGATTCAGATCTAACGTGCTCAGAATGGAGTCTTGTGTGTGAGAAGGAGCTTCTCAAGACGATAAGTGTTCGTTTAATCAAAAACACAAAACGTTTTAATCCCCAAAGTGACGAAAATGTACAAAAGAAGAGTCCAGGGGCGAGATGTTTGGGAATGAACGGCACCGTGGGTGTTGTAGTTCACGTCTAACAGGTTTGTGTGTGTTTAGGTGGGTCCAGGTTTGGTGTTCCTGCAGTTCGCACACAGTTACTTGGGCGGAGGTGTGATCCTGCAGAGCGTGACGCCCGTGGAGCCTCTGCTGCAGTGTGTGACCCACACCATGTTCTATCAGGCCAACGTCCCGGCGCCGGTGCCCAAATTCATCCTGAAGGCCGAGAGCATCCAGGTGCGGTGTGGACTCGCCTCCTGCAGGCAACAAGATGTTTTATTTTTATTTTTTAATCTCAATTCAAATTATTTTAAATAATGAGAAAAAAAAATTCAAACTAAATAAACGTTAAATGTTCCAGAGTTAGTCGAGCTGAAGAGCCCAAAAAAAACATTGAGAATAATTTTACTTATTTTTATTCTTTTTAATATTTCTATCAAATTCAGATTTTTGTGTATATTCATAGATGAGTATTGTAAATTATTCAGTAATTAGGATGATTATTTTCTTGTATATATTCCCTTTGTTAATTATCTTTTCTCTTTAAAATTTAATTACTCCATTAATTTGTTTGTTCTTTGTTGTCTAAAAAATATTGTATTATAGTTGTTTTCATTTTTTATCCATTCCTTTTTATTTATTTACTTAATTATTTGATTGATCGATTGATTTGTTCATTTTTAAATAGATTTTTAAATTTTTTTTTTTACATTACTTTTTATTTATTTACTTATTTATTTTGATGGATTATATATATATTTTTTATAATTAAAAAATGTAACTATTAGTTTATTAAATGTAGTATTTTTCCATTTTTTTGTGTAGATTTTAAAATTTTCTTTATTTAGTGATTGATTTTAAACATTTATTCAAAAAAGTTTTATTTTTTTAACCTAACTTTTCATATCTAAAAAAAGTTAAATCTGGTCCTCTGGACATTCAAAAAACAAAACAACAAAAAACGTAGAAATGTTTCGTCTTTCATCCAGAAGACTTCCTCAGTCTGAGGTGCTGTATTCAGCTCAGTCTTATAAATAGCACCTTCTCAGAGTGGATCAACCAGTTTTGCTGCTGACAACCAAAACTGAGTGAATATATTTATATATTTATTGCCACGTTTGGTCGTTCAGTCCAGCTTCTGTCTCCGTTTTGTCTCCTGTGCAGTTTGAGCGCGACGTGATGATCTGGAACAACAAGAAGTACGTCTCCAAACCTCTCCTGGTGAAGGAGGACTCCGCCATCCTGATGCACCGGCGCTGGTACAGCCAGTTCTACGGCCAGAACAGCCCGCGGCTGCAGCACCAACGGGACACTTTGGACTTCTGACCTCTGACCCCCCCCCCCCCCCCAAAAGACCCAAGGAAAGTCTGGATTTAATGCAGCGATTAGGGAGAGTTTGTATTTTTTGAATAATTTAAGGTACAACAAGAGAGAGAGGTCTGGTTTGTTCTTGTGATTAGACTATTCAATAATAATAATAATAATAATAATAATAATATTCATGAAAAGAAAGCACTAAAAATGTTCCACTCAAAAAAAATTATACAACCATTAATGGGAAACTTAAAGAGCTGTTATAGGAAGAAAAAAAAAGTTGTAAAATTGTTACAATAAGAGGATTTATAATTTATCAAATCATCTGGCTGTAATGGAGCAGCTGGTTTTAGCTTATTTCTGTGTTTTTAGCTGTTAATTTGACACAAGAAGAAGTTTCTTCATCTGCAGAGCCGGTCTTAGATTTTACGGGGCCTTGATTTGGGTGCCCCTGCGCCCTCGCTGCGTCCATTACTCGCCTCTGTGTTAGTAAAATACACGTTGTATTGTCTGAGCTAACCAAACGCAGCCATTCTCACAGTTGTGCTGGAAAGTGATTTAAAAAAAAAAAAACAGAATACCAAACAATCTGACTTCATTTTACGGAGAACCGAGTCTGTTCTGGACCAAAGAAAAGGAAGTAGCTCGTGCAAACCATTAGCATCGGTTGCACGAAGCGGGGTCGACTCATCTCCCGTCTGAATTATTTTACAATTTTAGCTTGTTTATAAAGTTTGTGGTTTTAGTTCTCCCATGCTGAACACCATAAGGAATGGTGGAACCAGAAGAAAAGGTGCAGGTTTGACAAAAAAAAAAAAAGTTCTCAGCGAGCGTTAAAACCTGTTAAAGAAAATAGAAACTCAAACGTAACATCAAAACTGTAGCTAAAGGCTAAGCTTTGCAAAACCACATTTAGTTAGCTAAAGTTAACTAAATTGTTGCTAAAATCCAAATTTTGCAAAACCGTACCTAAAACTCAAATTAGCCAAGCAATAGTTAAAACTAATAAATTCACAAAACCGTGGATAAAATGTGCTAAAGTTCAGTTTAAGCTAAATTGGACAAAACGAATAAAAATCATTTAAAATCCAAAATAGCCGAAACTGTAAAAGGCCAGATGTATCAAAACTTTAGCTAAAAGTTGACTTAAAAAGACTGTAACAAGAAGCTAAAATTAACTAAACTAGTACAAAAACTTAAAACTACCTACAGTTTAAAATAGCTAAACAGTAGCTAAAAATTAAAATTGGCAAACTGTAGCTAAAAGCTAAATGTAGCAAACCAGTAGCTAAATGCTTAAATTTGCAAGACATACGTAAAAGCTCAAATTTGCCAAAAAATTGATCTAAAAACTAAATATGAACTGTGAAACTCGCATTAGTAAAACAGTAGCTAAAATCTAGAGTTTGCTAAATTAACGAATATCTAAAAATTGGCAAAACCCATAGCTAAAGTTTAGCTCTTAGTTTTTGTTTAAGTAGGTTTTATTTGGCCTTCGTGTTGCTTCAGTTCTTCCTGTTTGTGTTTTGAAGATTTATCTCAAAGTAAATCAGTTTTGATAAATCAGTTTATCGGGGGGGGGGGGGGGGGGCGCTTGTGTGACTGTTGTTTTGCTTCAGTTCCTTGCAGAAGGTCGACTATTTTAATTTTAATTTTTTTTTTCAAATGTATAGATTTTATTTGCATATTTCATCCTGTTGTTTTAAAAAAGTGGATTTTTAAAAAAAATTTTATCTTTAGTGAACGTTTTCCAGTTTTAATCTTTTTAACTTAATTAAATAACTTATAACAGTACCACTAGCTACGCCTGTCTTATTTTGTAACGTGTGTTGTGTAAATTGATTTTAAGGATCGTCTGAGGCAAATGGCGTTAGAGACCCACATCATTTCACGAGGAACTGTCCACAGGAAGTGATACAGCTGGCTGCTATTGCACTTATTGCACTCTGGTTCTGTGTTCCTCACCAAGATTTTCAATGGTCTTCGTCTGGCCCGCTCAGTTCATACATTTGCTCATCAATCCGATCAGAACTAAACTCTTATTTCTCAGGAGTGAGGTTGTCCAACCAGCCATCTGCAGCAGGTAAGACACTGCTCATAAACTTTCCACAGAACTTCACTTCCTAAGAGCTGAACTATCCCTTTAAACCGTTCCTGATGTAATCGCTGCCTAGAAATCTGCGAGGCGTCTTGAAAAGCTGTGACGAGCAGATGAAGACAATAAGAGCTGTCAGCGGTGAGGCCCATGGTTTTGTCAGCGACGTTAAGAAAAGACCGCCGCCGCTCCTCTTTATTACAGCGCGTCTCCTAACAAGTGGCTAACGTGTAACGTTTATTTAAATATGTGGAATAAATCTGTCGTCTGGGCTCTGATGTGCCTCCTCGAGCGTTTCCTAACCGGCTCGAGCTTTTCGTTGCTCTGAATACGTTAGCGTGTTAAATCGAGCGCGGTGGTGAAGCGTTCGCTGCACTTCTCCGAGGCTCGGGGTTCTGCTTTTATTCTCGCCGCCTGTGACGGCGCTTTTCTTGACTTAGTCTGTTGGAGAAACGCGTTGCTGTGGTGGAGCACTAAAGTTCACCTGAAGTTTTCTCCATCTTTTACTGCTTATCTGGGGTTGAGTCATGGAGTCAACTGATCCAGGAGGGAAACCCAGACCACCTTAATCCCTCCTGGGGGTCCCGAGGCGTTCTCATTTATAATCCCTCCAGTGAGTTCTGGGTCTATACCCAATGTGGCGTTCCCAGTAAATCCAGATTTTTGCCTTTCGACTCGGCTCATTCATCACCAAGATTGACCAAAGCAACATCCTCATTACTGAGAACGAGGCCCCGATCAGTCGATCCATGTCCCGCTCCATCCTACCGTCACTCCTGAACAATACGCACAGACACCTGAACTCCTCCCCCGACCCGGAGGGGGGCATTCCACCTGTCTCCAGTTCAGAACCCTGGCTGACTCTCACCCCAGCCTGCAGTTGTGAAACATTAAATTTCCAGTCACAAACAACTGGTCCAAAGTGATGAAGACCCCACTGTGGACCCAAACGGCCACAGAAGGAGCGGATCAGAGGACATCTGTTCTGCAGGAGCTGCGTTTTGCCACCGATGATCCAGGGGTCGGCGGTGGAAGTGATTGCAGCCGTCTGGAGGGCTGCAGCCAGCTGTTCGCCTCCCTCAGCTGGAACCATCTTCCACCAGAAGTCAGAACCCACACCAGCAAGACTTCTGTTGAGGAATTACCTCGTTTCCACACGAGCCAGGGAAAACATCTCATGAACCACCTGTTCCAAGATGGCCGCCACAGCCAGCTGACGTTACAAAACATGAACATGGCTTTTCTCAGTCTTTTACAGATTTTGAGCTTCACTTGATGGAGTGTCGTGAGAATCATCAGAATAAAAGCGCCAACGTGTCTTTTTCAAAGTTAAACCAAAAAGGCAACACTTTGGCGGCGGGTGATATGCATTCCCTGCAGACCTTTTCCTTCAGCCTGGAGTCGCAGTTGATCTCACAGAAACCACTTCCTGTCTCGTTGGACATATTAAAATATTATAACGGGACAATAAAACGTATAACTGATATTATGATATTTGGGGGGTTTATCGCGATACACGATACAGATCAATATTGTACCATCTGCTCTAAATCGCAGCTTTAATATGAAATATGACCAATTATTGCCTATTTGTTAGTAAACTTGGACTGAGCTGCAGCTGAATATTTACAAGATCAGTTTTTACTTTAAAAGGTTTCTTTCTAAACTGACAGGATCTTGTTGATCAAACTTATATTTTGTTTTCTTCGAGTTTGCAGGATTTGTACAAAATGACGATTTGACTTCCTGGAATCTTGAGTTCTGACCTCGACCCTCTTCTCATCGGACCTGAAGTCACTTCAACTATTTGTAGCAACAAAGACTCGATTTGATCCGACGTCGTTAAGGAAAGAAAGAAAACCTCGCCCACGAATCAAAGCTTTTACGTTTGTCCTCTTCCTTCCGCAATGTTTTTTAGCTGATGTAGCTTTTACTCCAAAAAATCCACTTTATGTAAAAACAACGAAAAATCAAACCAAAGGAACAAAACTGAATAAATGCAACAGACGCTACAAAATGAGCTTTAAATGTTTCTATCTGTCTGTCTGTCTGTCTGTCTATATCTATCTATATATAGATATATCTATACATCGATATATAGATATATCTATATATCTATACATCGATATATAGATATATCTATACATCGATATATA